CAATATTCAAACCACATTCTGAACAACTAGCTGTGATCAGTGTTTTGCTTTTTAATTCGAAGTTACAGCGATTTCATTTCACTTGTCTGTATTGTTTAACAGATTGTCTCTACTAGACGTATTATTGTCTTCTATACAAAAGTGCTCATTGTTGCTAAGCAACCAATAAGCATTACCCAGTATAAGCTGTTTTTGTAGGTGGAAGGAATTTATTTTGGTTAGTTGTTCAGAATGTGGTTTGAATATTGTTACCTTGAAAGTTTGGAGGCAGGATTTTCTGGGCATAGATACAAAATAAAAAGCTGCTTTGACACCAGCTAAGGAATTCTTTTAGTTGAGGGACTCCCATATTCAGAAAACAAGCTGATTTTTACAAGAAACAGCAACAGTTTTGAAAGGAGGCTTGGAAGAGAACAACATAAAGAAGCTATGACAAACCATTATAGGTCACTGATCATGCCTCAGCTGGGGTTTTATGTCTATAGCATCAGATTTTAGCAAAATCTCAACGCCTTGCATAGATTTGCCAGAATTACACCAGGGATAAGGGAATTCAGTGATGAGGAACTGGAAAAGTTGGGATTGTTCTGCCTCGATGAAAGAAAATTAAGGAAAGACCTTCATCAGAACTGAAATCCCATTAAGCTAAAGCATGGGGTGAAATCCAGTATTGTGGAAGTTTTATGCCTGGAGGCAAGAGGAAATTTATTTACATGGAATGTTGGTTTACCGAAAACACACCACTTTACTGCCCTTATGGTATTAAATTCTCGAAGGCCCAAACTTGGCCACGCTCTCCCACTGTTAACTGAAGTGCTTAAAAGGCGGATTAATGAACTAGCGGCCCATTCCTGCATAGGCTGCAGTTATCTCTGCTTTAGGTGATATAGAAAGTGCTGGCTTCCCTGACAGGGCTATCCATTGCAGACAAGCAGTCAGCTCAGGCAGGGGGCTCAGAGAGTATCATTTTACTTGCAATAATCTGCGCATAATCGAGAGACTGGTCAAAGATCAGGAGGATGGTCACAGCCTCCCAACCCAAGAGTGACTTACTTAATCCTACCCTCTGAGGTGGACTTAATGCACTCTGTTATGGTAGGAAACATGGCAAACAGGCCTGAACTTAATTGAAGGAGAAGTTCTGTGCCGGTTTCCTGGTGATGGAAAAAGGGCCACGGGATTCCTGGCAGCTGCCGGTGGGATGCTAATCATGTTCATTAATCAGCCAATTGACACTCTGAGGGGTGGGTGTAGTCCCGGAGTTGGTGGGAGGAAGGGGGGAGCAGAGATGCGCCACTAATATCCAGCACCCCCCGGCCCCCATACCTGCCTCAACCACACCGAAACTCCAGCAATGATTATCTGTGTGTCTTCATTTCATCAATCGCCGTGACGACCCTCTCCATCCCCCACTACGGAGCTGACAGGAATACTCTACTGATTCCTCAACTGGTGGATGGAGAACCTCATCATTGCAACAGAATCCCAGCCTCTGTTTCTTGTACAATAACCAATTCTCATTCATTGCTACTCTGTTATTCCTAATCTCATGAGCTCTGCTCTTGTGTAACAACTACTTGTGTGGCACTTTATTGAATACCTTTGAAAAATTAAAATCTACTTCAAAATACAATATGTAAATTTGTGAAAATACAATTCTTCAAACGGCGACAGGAAAATATGACTGAAAAATGTCTATGGACCCACTTCTAATAAAGCATGATTAATCAAACTGGTAGTGGTGATTACCTAAACTAGAAAGTGTCTGGCTAATTTATCTCGCATTAACTTCTGAATGTTTAAATCAAAGAAAAGATAAGGGATTGTATCACTCTGGCTCTGTGACTCAGTGACCACATGTGGACCAACTTGGACACAGAATGAAAAACAGTTCAGCACCATGTTATTTCATCCTATTATTTAGCATCATATTAATTCCAGGCTGTCACGGATCACTGGGGTAGCATGCTGGAAATCAAGCCCTGCTATTCCTGGAGTTGTCACAAAAGCTAAAGATTTTAAAATATGTGCACAGAATTTCCCAAAATGCCTTATATACAGATCCAGGTGGATGGAAAGCATGTATCAGGGTCACACTTATTTACATATATAAATACACGCGCTCTCACGTGCTTTCACGCACTCTCACTTGCTCTCATGCACTCACTATCACTTGCTCGCACGCACTCTTACACACACATACTCTCTGCAGACAGAGGAAAGCTTGAAGGCAATTCAGTAGTTCCTACTCAAGGGTTGCCGAGATGATTCTTATGATGATCAGAACATTGTTTTTCTGTTTTTCTTTGGCTGCATCCACTGGTTTACAAGAGGCACAAGGTGAATGTTTCATTTACAAAATGTTTCTGATTTATCAGTTAAAAGTCACCGCTTACAACTGCTTAGGGAAAGATGAACTGGTTTTCTTCGGGTTTATAATGGGTTTTGACTGTAGAGAACAAAGAGACTGTTTCAGAGCTGGTGGACATCAAAACACTGCTTTCCATCTTATTCCCAGTCCCCAGACTATTCAGTAACAGATAACTGGTCAGTAGTTCATAAACCAGTCAATTTCTTGCTGCCACCCAGCTGCATCTGTACACAAACCCTCAGCACCAATTCATCTGCAACCACTTTAGTTACAGATGGTTCAAACAGTTGTTTACAGTACACAATGCTTGCCGTTGCTGTCAGGTTACCAGCTTTTCAAAGCATGCAGCAATCCTTGAAAACTCTGATTTTAAAACATTTCTTATTTCAGCCCACAATTTTAAAATATCATAAAAATGTAGTCATGGTCTTTACAAGGTAGAGTTTAAAAAAAAATTCAATTAAACATATTCAATTCAAATGTTTAATAACCATCACTTAAGTATTTGGGTAGCCTTCTTGACTTCTGTGCTAAGAAATTTCCCACCATCCGAACAGGAACATACAGTTTTATTTGGTATTCCAAGTAAACTGATAAAGTGGTATTACTGGACGATTGTTTGATCCCCCTTTGCAGAATGGACAGAATCGGTGGTGGGGTGCTTCTTTGATCTTAGGTGGTTCTTTCCTGTGGTTGCAGCTCAAAGTGGTACTGTAAGAGTTTCCTTTGGCTGGGATGCCAGGAGTAGGCCTTCTGCAGTTTTGGCTGGGAGCTGGGCCTTTCAAGGTTTTTAGGTGGGGAGGAGGGAGCTGCAATAGGGATGTCGGTAGGAGGAGGCTGCGAGGTGGGCTGGGATGGACGGGTGAGAGGAGGCTTGCAAAGGAGAGAGGAAAAACATATAAAATCTGTCAACAAAGAAATCCTCAGTTAACTGGGAGCTAGGAAAACTTGAAAACATGAATTCCTTATCAATGAAGGTAGTTTAAGTCTAGTAAGTTCAGGCGCTACCATATGAGGAATAACACAGTGGATGCTATTGTAACGGACAGCGTGTGTCAATTAAATTTTAAATCTGAGGTCGAGATCTGAGATGCTATAAAAAAAGCAGTGACTGCCTGGTTAAAATGTTACAACCCTGCACCGATCACCAAGCAATGATTTCCTCAGATTGGGCAGTTAGTGGCCATAGGGCAGCCTCACTGTTTGCTTAAGAGTAGTGTCTGGGCTGTCGAAACTGGAGACCAATAGGAGGCTATTCAGCTCAGAAGAAGCTACTGCTATCATTAAAGTAGGAGGGAGAGAGGGGTCTCCATCTTGAAGTGTCCTGTCTGCAACTTTTGAAAATGTTAAGTTAAAACTTGAGCTTACCAATCAGTCCAGCATTGTGGAGGTGGAGCACTTTACAGGATAGCCTGTAGCTTCAGCAGAGGCCAGTTGGATGGGGATGGCCTCAAAACCTGACTGGAGTGCTAATCCGCACAGCCTGCTTCTCAGGAGAACGAGCCTCCCTCCGACATCTTGGTGGGCCCACAGGCCAATTGGGAAGTTCCAGTCAGCCTCTGGCATTAATCGCCATTGATTAGCTAGCTACTGCTTGTGTGTGAGTGGCCTTTCTAAACTACATATCACCTCCAGAAAAATGGGTTGGGGGAATGATAGTTTCAGTAAACTGACACACAAGCTGAAAGTGGGAATGTGTACAAGCCACCCACCTCTGTGAGAGTGAGAATTCAGCCCCCATGTTGTTTTGAGAGAAAAGGAGCAACACATTGTTAGTATTTTCTGATGACTAAATCTGTGCTAATTGCACTTTTGTATATGGTGCCTATGTTGTGATATTTAATTGATTTAAATACCTCCATGTCAGAAACATAAGTACACTGTCATAAATAGATTTTTAAATAGGTTAGCAAATTATAAAGCATCATAGACATTTGTGCCCAAATGCTGCAAGCATTGATTTATTTTATTTTTCAGAAATACAAGTGGAAATATGCTGGAAATATTCAGCAGGTCAGGCAGCATTGGTGGAGTGAAGCAGGCTTCCTGTTTCAGATCAGGATAACCTCTTGTCAGCGATCATCTCACCCTGAAACATTAACTCTTTTTCTGTCTCCACAAATACTGCCTGACCTGTTGAGAAGTTATAGCATTTTGTTTTATTTCAGATTTTCAGCATTTACAATAGTTTGCTTTGTTTGATTATTTTCAGGAGATGTTATTACCTGCCAGAATTAAAGTTCCATAATTCCACTTGAATGTGATGAATGACTAGTTGTGCCCTGACTGTCAGTAATAGCAGTATCAATGACAAAATATGCAGGTGACGTGTATAAGGTGATCCAAATTTGGGGAAAAGGGTAATGAACTGTCAACATTTTCAAGGATAATAATTCAAAGTTATTAAGTTTCCAAATAATCCCTTAACTCATTTGTATTGCATTCCTTATCAAGCAGGCATTAACCCATTTAACGTACATCCTTAAAATAATGCTATGGGATTTAGGTCTATGAGTGTTATAGAAACACACGAGGTAAAATTTAGTCTCGTCCTTCTCTCCTCACTGCAGAGGCAGGCAGGCACTATGACCCAAACATGTATAAGGATTCATTCACTGGGTTCAGGTGAATGATAGGAGTAAGCTGGTGGCTGGCTGCACAGTTATTGGCATCTTACCCAATGAGAGTGAATAAATTTAGGACCCTCTGCCTCATGAGCAACAGACTTGTCAAAATTCTGGAAAAGGAAGAAGTTGTTGGAGTCAGCCACAGGAAGATGAGGTAATTGTAGTGCAGTGAACTGAGGAAAGTCATTAACTTTATTGGCAGCCTCCACGAAAGAATTCTTGAATGGGTCAGGCCTAGTACCTTGTCTGTACTCTGGGAGCTCGGTTTGGAGAGGCTGATCCAACAGGGGTCTATTGATGTCTTGGGCTCTACCAAGACACCTGAAAAAGGGCCCCATAAATTCACCAGTAGGACTAAAGCTGTGCAGATTGCACACAGGCCATCTGTCAGGGTTTGAGTCTGTCTTTCACCAGAAAACTGTTGTAACAAATAGTAAGAGTACAGGAGCAGGACTGTTGGCCCTTGGCCTGGTTTTGCAGTTTTGCTAATGACTGATCTATATCTTAACTCTTTTTATTTGCCTTAGTAATTATTGATACCGCAATTTTAGAAAAATGTCTGTTGGTCTCAGACTTGAAAATACACCACCTTTTGGTTGGACAGAGTTCCAAATCCATGCGAAGCATTGCTTCCTAAATTCATTCAGAAGCAGCCTAATGCCAATTTAAGATTATACTTTGTTATAATAGAGAGAAAATTCAGACTAACACACTAAAATAATGTATATCATGAAATAATTTTCAGTGTCTTAGTTTTGCTGTCATCAGACATAAACATGCTGAATTCTGTTGATTTCAAGCAGGGGGAATACTGTTTTGTACAGACCGTGACTTTTAAAACACTTTTCTTTTTCAGGAAATATAACATCCGTGTTGAAGACATAATGGTAAGAGACATCCACTTTGTCATTGTAAACTGCAAGTATAGAGACCTGCAAGATCTCCTTGACTGCACAAAACTCAAACACCTTCCTCTTGTTGAGTCAGCAGGTAAGAAGAATAGCCTTTAATAATTTTTGACATATGCTTAAGAATGAGACACATTTCTCTGTGCTAAAAGGGCCAAGTTCTAACTCCAGAGTATGAATTCAGGCTAATTCCATTTCTTTAAATATAAGATTTGGTTTGCTCTAACATTTTTTCAAAAACTAGAATTCATTGATTGGATCATCATCCACACTTTCCAGATTCCAAAGGTAATCTGGAAATTACCTTTGTTCAGAATAGCTGATAGAAGACACAAAATTGGAGATTTGGTAGAAGCTCTTTATTTGAAGTAAAATTAGGTTGCTTCAAAATTTTTTGCTTCTTTACCCAGGAAACTGTTCTTTTTGTGAAATCAACCTTTAAAATCTTTTGTAGTATAGAGGTACAAATCAATGCTATGTGTGTATTTACCCGAAATGCTACAGGGATAAGACTAAATTTTGGTGTTGAACCTTTGGAATGAAATGGTTGTTATACGATCTGATGCCTATGATATCATCTCATGTAAGGAGTATGGGCAGTGGTGAGGGTCGTTTAGCTCAGTTAGCTGATCGGCTGGTTTGTGAAGCAGTGTGACGTACACAGCATGGGTTTAATTTCCATCATCAGCTGAGGTTATCATGGAGGACTCTCCTTCTCAACCTCTCCCTTCTCCTGAGGTATGGTGGCCCTCAGATTAAATCACTACCTGTCTCCCTCTCTCTCTAATGAGAGAGTAGCCTATGGTCTGATTAGACTGTGGCAACACACACGGACAGTGGTTTTAGTGTTGTTGATTCCATGCAATAACAATAGCTAAAATTATCCCTATAAATAAAATTTTAAAAGTCCTATTTGCTGGCCTCTTCATTTGTGTTCAGTGCTGTGAACAGTGGAGCTCTTTTGACATCATTGTACTTAACAAGCAACATTTATGTATTTTATGATATTTTCAGTTTGTGTTTTTTATTTAGTTCTACTCAATAGTAGGAGCTATTTAAAGTTGTTTATTTGGTACTTTCACTGTGGGCCAGATTGAACAAACAATGGGTAGTTAATTGGTTACATGAAAGGTGTGATTAGCTGTTCTCTGGTTTTCTTCTCCTGTGGCAATTTAGGTTGTTGTGGAAATTGAGACAGTATAAATTTGAAATGAGTTGCAAGAGCTCAATCTTGACCTGCAAGAAGCCAATGGCGGGGTTAGGGTTGTAGATAAATTTTTGCCTCAGTGGGACTTCAACCTTGAGCTGCTATTAGAAAACCTTTGTTTCCTATAATTGATAGTTGATTGAAGTGAAGGGGGTACAATTCTTGAGTTTGGTATTTGTCAGGGTTCAAACTACATTTTAGATACAGGTGGTAGCACAGGGTATCCTTTGTGATATCAATGAATCAATCATTTTATGCCTTCTAAGTAGTGGCATTGAGGTCAACAGTGAAGCTGAAATTCCGAACTCATGCATAAAACGGGTAAGACCACACAGTACAGTGTGCAGTTATTGGTAGCTTATTTCAGAAAAGATGGTGATTTATCATGATGATGCCAAGAAAGGGCAACTATAACAATGACAGCCTTAGTAGAATCTTCAGAGACTAAAGCCTTTATCTTAACCAGGAGTGGGACTCAGTTGGTCAGCGGTTGAGGGAAATGAGGATGAAGAAAAAGCCAAATCCCCTTAGCTTTGGCAGCATGAGGTTTGGGAAGATTTAATGTTCAGAATTCATCTGCATGCCGCCAGTCACATGCCCACCCAAAACAGGCAGGTGGCAGCTGCCACACTATGGACAGGACTGAGTTTCAGGCAGCAGGGTGTTGTCTGATGGTGAGAAAGGAACAGCCACTGGTAATAGGATGGGTCACTGGGCAGATGTTCCCATGGGTCATGGAGGAGCATTCCTATCTCTAACCCATCTCTACAAGCAAAATCAAAATAGAAAGTACTTGTTTCACCCTGTTCTCAGGCTTAACATACTCCCATGTAAGATAAACCAAAATGCCACATTAAATTCCATTTTCCATATTTAAAGAAGGAGTTCCCCCAACTTCAGGAGGAGCACCTGTTTGGAGGTTGAAAGTGAAGCCAGCCAAATCCATTCAAAACATCAGTAGAAAGATACCCAGCCAATTTTAATGGCTGCCTGCCAGATAGAGCAAAAACAGCCTCTTGGAATAATTTCCCCTGCAGCAGAGAATGCTCAGAGAAGATGTGATAAAGAATTTTTAAATGATGGTGGTTTTTGACAGGAGAGAAAGAGCTACCTTTCCTCTGGTTGAGGAATAAGTGATGATGGATCACATTGATTTAAACTAAGGGGAAGGGCCAAGGTTATAAGTACTAGATTGGAAAGGTATAGTTCAGTGATGAAAAAGAGACTTTCATCCAAATTACTATATTGATTTTTAAGATCATCTGCTTTGCGGATTGCAGTTTTGAGTACAAATAGGTTCTTAATTTTATTGCCATTTAGCAGGTAAAGGAGCAACATTGAAGACTTGAAATTAAGTTTATGGCTCATTGGTGATGAAACTGAGACAGTGTTAGAGTTCTAAACACAGAAGTGATTTCCCAGTCAAACTGTATGGTCCTTCCATTGGTCTGGCAGCATCTGTGAAGAAAAAATCAGAGTTAACGTTTTGGGTCTGGTGACCCTTCCTCAGAACTGTTCACAGGAAGGGTCACTGGACCCAAAATGTTAACTCTAATTTTTTTTCTTCACAGATGCAGCCAGACCTGCTGAGCTTTTCCAGCCACTTCTGTTTTTGTTCCTGATTTACAGCATCTGCAGTTCTTTCCGGTTTTATTTGGCCCTTCCCTTCCTTTTCCTGAGACTGTTCCGTGGTATGACCCCTATGGATTCAGTTGCATTAGAGATGGGTTGTTCATTCCTCTACGCTTGGCTGACATTCCTGAGTTTGAGACCCATAAGGCCTCCACAAAAGACTAACTCACTTACACTAGAGTAGGGCCAGACTCGCACAACAGGACTGCAGATGGCTTGTGGAGCTCTGAATGGAGGCAGGGGGAGAAGCAAGGAAGGGAATAATCAAAGGTCTTCTCTCTCATGGTACACGTATATGTCTTTGTTGACCAAGAACTGGGAACATTTTGTCGCAGTTCAGCGATGCACTGAATTTCCAAGACAATACTTTCCACCCTGCTGTTTAAAGGTTTAGAGAGACAGGCTAATTGTGCAAGTCATCAGTGAGGGCCAACGTGTCTTCAGTTGCTCGGACTCACTTTCCATGAAGATGGATATCAGCGCATTGGTCTGGGATATTATTGCATTTTAGAGACAGGCTCCTCCAACCTTTCCCCAGTGGTACATACAAACTCTTGAAATGGAGTCAGAAATTTACACATTTTCTGCTGTCACCCTGGAATTGAAGCTTTATGGAACCCCAACCCCAAAGGACACAGCAGCTGTATCCAAGAGTGTCTTGCACCTCTGACAAGAACTGTTCATTGTCATCCTGATCTCCAGCAGCAGTTCCTATTCACTTGTGATGTGTACTTCACCATGGGACAAATCCACGACTTGTCTTGGAGGCCCACTGAGGTTTGTGTAATAAATCAAGTGGAGGATGCACTTCTGCTGTACAACGGCGCTTCACTCAATGTGCCCAATCTCCTCTGAGGAGGCATTGACCACCTCCCCCAGCAGATTCTGTATGACCCATTAAGTGCCTGAGGATGATAACGGAGAGAAACTAGAACTGAAAGGGAAAAAAACTCAAAATTACCATTGTTCAAAATGATCATTGTTCACCGATGATACCAATTTAATGAATGAGTCTAGTGCCTATGTGATACCTCATTCTAACTGCAGGGAAACATCTATACTAGTTCAATTTCCATGTAAGCACCATGTTACTCATCTTCATGGTCTCATACTACGCACTGGTCCAGGTGTCTATTGCAGGAAGAATAGTTCATAGATCTCGGTATAAGCAAGGTATTCTGTGCTCTCTCGTCCTGCAAGGAAAGCAGTTAGAAAGTCCTGTGTGAGAGAATTGAAATGCTCTGAGAGGATGGAAAGAGGGTGACTGTAAGGGATAGGCATGAGATGACAAAAAGGTCGGGTTGAATGTCAGTGGTGTCTTCTTAGATGGGGATGTGAGAAGCTGCCCCGATTGGGTGGAGATGCAATTAATACTGATCTGAGGAATTCTGTGTAGGAGAATGATGGGGAAGTTAGAGTGAAGGAGATAGCTCTTGAATGTGGAATGCAGACTCAACTTTCCTATCCTCATAATCCTCAGTAAACAGATTTAGATGCTATAATTCTGCCCCATGTTTCAGCTTTTGATTTGCTGAGTGTTTGCAATATTTGTAATTTTAGTTGGTAATAGTAGCCATAGTCCATGAGGATATAAATAGATTTAAAAGGATATAATGTAGTTGAGATTAGGAAGATGTGGCTGCAGGTATTCAGTTTATTCAGCTTTTAGAGAGAACAGACAAAAAGGAATGGGATGTGGGGTAACATTCTTGCTAAAGAGTTAATTAAGACAGTAGTGAGGAAGGATGTTAGCTCTGGTGAAGCTGAGCTTTTGAGCTATAAAGGTTTCTCTAAGTATGTGAAGAGAAAAAGATTAATGAAGACAAATGTAGGTCCTGTACAATCAGAAACAGGGACAATTATAACGGGGAACAAAGAGATAGCAGACCAATTAAACATATGTTTTTGTTCTGCCTTCAGGAAGGAGGATACAAATAACGTCCCAAAAATTTTAATGATCACAGGATTTAGCGAGAGGGACGAACTGAGGGAAATCGGTGTTAGTAAAGATGTAGTGCAGCGGAAACTGATGGGATTAAAGGTTGATAAATCCCAGGGTTTGAAAATCTCTTTCCGAGTATAATCAAGGAGGTGGCCCTAGAAATAGTGGATGCTTTGGGTAGTCCTCTTTCAAGTTTATATAGACTGTGGAACAGTTCTTACAGATTGGTGGGTAGCTAATGTAATCCCACTATTTAAAAAGGATGTAATGAAGCAACAGGGAATTATAGACCAATTAGCCTAACCTTGGTAGGGAAAATGTTAGAAACCATTATAACAGATTTAATAGCAGAGCACTTGATAAATAGTGACATGATTGGACAGTGTCAACATTGATTTACAAAATGGAAACCAAGCTTGACAAATCTATTGGAATTTTTCAAGGATGGAACAAGTCAAATTCATAAGGGGGAGCCAATGGATATCATTCCTTGAACTTTCAAAAGACATTCAATAATGTCCCACATAAGAGATTAGCATGTAAAATTCAAATGCATGGAATTCGGATTAGTGTACTGACATGGATAGACAACTGGCTGGCAGACAGGAAACAAACTGTAGGAGTAAACAGGTCACTTTCTGAGTGGCAGCTGGAGACCAATGGGCTACCTCTGGGATCAGCGCTTGTACCCCAGCTACTCACAATGCATATTCATGATTTACACGAGGGAACTAAATGTAATATCACCACGTTTGCAGACAAGACAAAGCCGGGTGGGAGGGGGAACTATGGGGAGGAGGCATAGGTGTTTCAGTCTGATTTGGACAAGTTGAGTGAGTGGGCAAATGCATGGCATATGAAGTATAATGTGGATAAATGTGAGGCTATTCACTTTGGTAGCAAAACCTGGAAGATGGATTGTTATCTGAATAGCGACAGATTGGGAAAGGGGGAGGGGCAGTGAGGCCTGGGTGTCCTTGTACATTATCACTGAAGGTAAACATGCAGGTGCAGCAAGCAGTTAAGAAGGTGAATGGTATGTTGGCCTTCGTAGTGAGAGGATTTAACAACAGGAGTAGGGATGTCTTGCTGCAGTTGTACCGGACCTTGGTGAAACCACACCTTGGAGTATTGTGTGCAGTTTTAGTCTCCTTACCTGAGGAAGGATGTTCTGGCTATGGAAAGAATGTAACAAAGGCTTACCAGACTGATTCCTGAGATGTCAGGCTGATTTATGGACACAGACTGAATTGTTTAGAACAATATTCTTTGAATTTTAAAAAAATGAGAAAGGGATCGCATAGACATTATAAAATTTTAACAGGACCAGACAGAGTAAATGCAGAAAGGATGTTCTCAATGACCAAAGAGCCTAGAATCAGAAGTTACATCTAAAGGATATGGAGTAGGCCATTTGTGACTAAGGTGAGGAGAAATTTCTTCACCGAGAGAATGGTGAGCCTATGGAATTCTCTGCCGTTGAAAGTGGTTGAGGCCAAATTATTCAATGTTTTTAAGAAGGTGTCAAATATAGTTCTTATGGCTAAAGTGACCAAAGGATATGGAGAGAAAGCAGGAAAAGGACATTGAGTTGAATGATCAGCCATGATCATATTGAATGGCAGAGCAGACTTGAATGGCTGAATGGCCTACACTTGTTCCCATGTTTCTATGACTGTAGGCATCTCTCTATTAGAAAGAGACACTTAGTTATATGTAGTTTGATGGGCAACACACTGCAAGCATAGGGCAAGGCTCAAAAGCCTTTAAATAATTCAGAAGGATAGTGGTTTCATAGGCTAGTAGTTAACTTCATAAATCGCTGTTGGTATTGTTCTACAAGGCAAACAAGTAGATCCACTGATGAATGTAAACAAAATGGCTCCTTAGCTCTGCAGGTTGGCAGTTTGTACACTCTTAACTGTGACATTAATTAATAAACTTTATATTCCAAATTAAAACAGGTGACTGCAGCTTCCAACATCTGCAGTTTACATACTTTTTGCCATGAATGCCTATCAAATTTTGAAAGCTGGACAATATGTGATTGCAGAGTTGCTGTATTGTAATCTTATTGTGGTGTAAGATTTATCCAGCTGGAAGTATTCTTACAATTACACAAAGTAACACTAGGTAAATATTCCGTTTTTTAAAATGAATATTCATTTCCATTCTGAATGCAGTATGCTCTAACTTACAGCTGAATGAAGTATAATCTTTCTATTTTCATTTAACAACTATAAAACACTCAACACTGGCTGCCTGTTAAGGTGATTCGTTTTCTTTATCTTAACCGTTGTTGCTTATTTGCTGGATTAAGTTGGTAAAACAAATATGAAAATATGAAAGCGGATGACTGCCAGTGTCTGACTTTAACAAGTGTAGATTATTGAGACTAATCAAGTGTGTTTCATTGTTCACTGCTGATGTTCAAGGCATTGGCTTTACTGTGTGTAAATATGCAATGTATTGTTGGAACTGCTTTTGCCCTTAGACTCCATGATTCTGCTGGGCTCCATTGAAAGGAGTCAGCTGCAAAGTCTTATTGATGATCAGTTGAGTCGACGGCGGAGGATGGACTATCTGAAGGAGAAAGCTCAGAACGAGAAGAAGGTGGATGCTGACAGCCACCGAATTATCAATGAAGGAATTAAAGATGTGCATGATTCTGGGGTCAGATTTGAGGTAAGAAGTTGGAACAGAAGTAAAGAAGCCTTTTGATCATTGAATTCATAATGCATGTAGGACCAACCAAGTTATTTCTGGATCTCATCTTACAGATACATTCATTAATTTTAACAGTCAAAATAGAAAGTAGCTTGTATTCATATAGTGTACTTCATGTCTAACAAAAGTCTGAGTGAACCTGCACCAGCTGAACTACAGAGTTCAAGCTGATAGCTCACTACCACCTCCTCAATGAAATTAGAGGTAGGAAGAAAATATTAGCTTCATCAGAAATACTAAGACATAAGAAAGGATGTAAAATAGTCCTAAACATTCATCATCACTGTGCGCAATGACCTAAACTGGCCACCAGTCAAGCAAAGTCTTGATTTGAAAATTCTCAGCCTTGTTTTAAAATCCCTCTGTGGTTTCATCTCTTTGTACCTCTAGCTTCTTCCAGCCTCCAATCCCTCTAAGGCCTCTATGTTGATCTAATTCTGACCTCTTGAGCATTTAACTTTAATCGCTCCATCATTGGTGGGCTTGCCTTCAGTTGGCTGCCCTCTAAGCTTCTGAACATTCTCCCTACACATCTCTGTCTCTCTGTTTCTCTTTCCTCTTTTTTCCAGCATACCATAAATCAGATTTCTATGATCAAGATTTTGGCCATCTGACTTTGTGGTTGTCATATTGTCTTATACCGTTCCTGTGATGCACCTTAGAATGTTTTTTATGTTAAATGTGCTATGTAAATATAGGTTATTGTAACATAGAAAGCACCAAAGCCAATTAATGTGCAACATCCTCCCATGATGTGGTCATGACCAGATAATCAGTTTCTGTGATGTGCATTATGTAAATATTGGTCAGTTTAACTCTCTATTCTTCAAAATTGTGCCATGAAAACATTTATACCTACACAAGAGAACACCAAGAACATCAATTTAACTTCCTCAGTGCTGCACTGGAGTGGCAACTTAGTTTTAAATGCTTAGCCTTTGGAATGGGATTTGAACTCACAAGTTACTCACTCAGAATTGAGAATGCTATCGATGGAATCAGAGCAGATACCATAGCTTGAATTTTCATGCAGTTGGAGAGCCGCTCCAGCTTTACAGAAAATGGCAGTGTCTACCCAAGTCGAGTAGTGCCATCCCCAAATATAGTACCTACCATGTTTGTGGGTGTGGGCCGGGTGCAGGGGCAGGGGAAGAATTGGGAAGGGTTCTGATTTCCACATCCGCAGTTACTGGAACCCACTACACTGTGGAGATGAAGTACAGTCCAGTGACAGCTCTATGTTATGCCTAGAAAAATGACCCTGAGCCTTAAGTTGTCTACCATTGTGTTCCTATGCCAGCATTTCTGTCTCAGGCCTGCTGCAGTGCTCCAGCAAGACTCAGTGCAAACTGGAAGAACAACATTTCATCATCCACTTGGAGACATTACAGCCATCAGGACTCAATATTGTGTTTGATAATTTTAGAGCATTTTGCTATTGGTAGGATTTCTCTGACACATCATTCTGCCACACTTTCTATATTATAACGGTGACTATACTTCAAAAAGTACTTCATTGAAAGTTGCATGATATTTGGAACATTTTGTCAATTCTGATACATTTTCCATGTCAGAAGTTACTGAATCCAAAGTCTAACATCTTCATTGTGGTGGGTGTTGTTGCTTAGAATAGGCAATCAATTCCTTTACCTTGCTCTCAATTATTCTGTTCCACCTACACTGCCAGGAAACTGTTTTATCAGTGTCAGCAAATTTCTTTACTTGGATGAAAGCATTGCTACCAAATAAATCTATCATGGAATTGGGAGGCTGCTGTATAATTCACTGAAATATCCAGCTGAAAGTGTTAGCACAAGAAATACAAATATATTGACATTAAACAAAAAATATTGAGGTGCTTTTCAAGCTTGTATAATAATTCACAAATAACACGGATGAACCCCCATTTGGAAATCTATTTGGTATACGACATGACACTAGTAGGACTGAAGTTATTCACAAATCTAAATATTCCTTTTGTCTGTGAACAGAATTTCAAGTCTGATTACTTTAAACAATGTCTTCCTTCATCTGTTGTGAACTGTTTGCACAGTGGGCTTGCCAAGCACCAGGATAGGTTGCATTTAATTTCAATTAAACTGTGATCTATAGAGCAACCAATATCACTCAGGGCTCCATTTTGTGGTTGTCTCAGGGAGGTCCCAACATCCTTTCACTAAACATTATGAATGTCATTCAAAATAGATTGGCTTTCTTTCAGGTGATTATAATCTATCCAGATCTTTGGCATTGTTGTATAACACTTGTAAATTGAAGAGAAATACATTTTGTCTTAGAATAATTTTCCTAATTCTTTTAATTTAGTTTCCTACATACCTCCCTTCCAATCTCGCTCCCACCATTTCTGATTCTAATTCTTCTTTACATAAATTTAGTTTGTCTGTTATAACAGCTTGGATGACACGATAGGCTTTGTGCTTTGAAAATAAGACACTAGATTAAAATATCCAGAAGAAATGCAGCAGTCATTCAGCCCATCAAGTTTGCTCTGTCTTTCAATAAACTCATGACTGATCTGATAAACCTCAACTCCAGCCTCCTGCCTTTTACCTCAGTAGGCTGGATGGCTGGTTTGCAATGTGGAGTGATGCTGACAGTGTAGGTTCGATTCCTGTACTGGCTGAAGTTACCATGAAGATCCTGCCCTCTCAACCTCTCCCCTTGCCTGAGGTGTGGTGACATTTGGGTTAAATGCACCACTAGTCACCTCTCACTAATGAGAGAGCAGCCCTTTGGTCCTCTGGGATTATGGCGATTTTTTAAAAAATCTAAATAATTGTGGCCTCAGCACTGATCCCTGTTGCCATCCAATAGTTGCAGGTTGTCTTCTATAAGTTAGCCAGTCTGCTATCTGTGCTAATATAATATACCCATAGATTCTAATTTTATTAAGTAGCCTTATGTGTGGGACCTTATCAAACACCTTCTGGAAATCCAAACATATAACATCCACTTTACTAGCTTCAAAATCTCCCCACCCCCGGCCTCATCCCATGACCAACCCTCCCTCTCATCCCCGCATCCTTGACTTGTCCATCTTCTCTCCCACCTATCTGCTCCTCCCACCTCACTGATCAATCCCCACCACTACCTACCTACACTCACCTATCGCCATCCCACCTACTTTCCCCAGCCTGACCTCTCCTCTCTTTCTTTATTTCCGAGCCCCCTTTCCCTCCCCTCCCAACCCGAAACATCAGCTTCCCTCCTCCTCTGATGCTGCCTGTCCTGCTGTGTTCCTCCAGCTCCCACTGTGTTATCTCAGACTCCAGCATCGGCAGTTCTTACTATCTCTAACATCCACTGTTCCCTCTTTATCATACCACCCTATTACCTCCTCAAAATAACTCTCATTTGTCAGGCATGATTTCCTCTTGATGAATCCATGCTGACGTTGTTTGTTTAAATTGTATATTTCTAAATGTTCAAACATTTCAATGTCAAATGTTAAGCTAACTGGCCTATGATCACCTGTTTCTTGCCTTCCTCCCTTTTTGAATTAGGGTTTTATATCAGTAGTTTTCCAATACTCTGGGACATTTCCAGAATCCTAAGAATTCTTGGAAAATTGCTACCCAGGTATCCGCTATCTCTGTATGATTTCCTTTATTATGCGAGGATTTGACCCATCAGGTCCGGGGACTTATCAGCCTTTAGCCTCATTAGGTTCTCTTATGCTTTTCTACAGTGATAGCTAGTGTATTTATTTCCTCCCACCCCAACCTCATATCTTTTTCTTCTTTCCTTTTGAAAAGTCACATACTTCTGAATATGTCATTCCCAGCTTTGATATCCTTGTAACCATGTCTCCATAGTGGCTATAAGATCATTCCAAGTAACATCTATTTATGCTGTTAATTCATTTTATTCCATTCCAAATACTATGTGCTTTTAAGTAAAGAGACATTAATTTTACCTCCTTACCATTTTGTTTTCTCCCTTTGTTCCCATTTGATTTTTTTCTAATATTTGTATACTCTGGAAAGGACGTTCTGCTGAAAGAATTTGAACAGTTCAGCTCTAAATTTAAAAGCAGAGCTTCTAAGCTAAAATTCTTGGGTTTACTACCTGATCCACAGGCAGACTGTCAGAGGGTAATGACATCAAGGATTCAAACGTGTGGCTCTCTGTTCCTTCCTATCCCATTCTGGCTATCATTAAATAAATAGATGTTCCACAATGTTTTCAAATCCCCTTGCTTTATATGCCTACGTATCCCTTCTCCAGAACTCTCCTCACCTCTACTGAGTTTAAATCCCTCTCTACAGCCCCAGTTATTCAGTTTTTCCAAACTGTGGTTTCAAGTGAAGCCCATCCCACTGGAACAGCTCCCTTTTACCCTAGTATTTGTACCGTGAATGGAATTCTCTCCCTCCCACGCCAATCTTTTGGGCCGCACGTTTGAATCCTTGATGTCATTACCCTCTGACAGTCTGCTTGTGGATCAGGTAGTAAACCCAAGAATTTTAGCTTAGAAGCTCTGCTTTTAAATTTAGAGCTGAACTGTTCAAATTCTTTCAGCAGAACGTCCTTTCCAGACCTCTCCATGTCTTTGGTGCCAATGTAGATGACAGCTACTAGATCACTCCCCTCGACCTCCAAGTTCCTGTACAACCCTGAGGAAAAGTCCCGAACCCTGGCTCACAGCTGCAGAAAATAGTGCCTATCCTGCTAATTATACTGTCCCCAGCCCCAACTACATGCCTATTTCCCGAACCACACTCCCCCGACTTGATTGTCTCCCTGTACCAAGGTAAGGTTCACTCATTTTCCCTTCAATTCCCATTTTCATCCATGTAGCTTGTAAGAACTTTATATCTATTGGGCTGTTGCAGACTCGTTGAATGCTACCCCTGGGTCCCTATAACCTCACCTGCAGTGATACCCTCCTGATTACAGACCAAATTTGAATTTCTTAATCTGAGTGGTGGGACTGTCCTCTGGAGCAATGTGTCCGAGTAACTTTCCCAGCTTCCAATCCTCCTTTTGCCTGTACTTCGTCTAGGGTCTGTCCAATGATCAGTAGCAGAGGATACACAACTGTAGAGGCTTCTCAGGAGACTCACTATTCTTAATTGACAAGACTGTTTATTGCATGATAGCAATACTGCATTACAAGTCAGCATAGGTATTGGGAATCTTGGTGGCTGAACAGAATTTACATGCTCCCTACAAAGGCTAGTGTAGAACTCACAGCCTTTACCACATGACTACATCGGGGTGACATTGTCTGAAAGGTAGAGCACAATGTAACAAAGGCACAAAATCTCATCAAAGCATTACTCATTGTTAACCATTATATATAGTGCATACATGATAATAATATGACCTCTACTATGACTCCATCTCCTTCCAGGTTTTGGATGTCATAAGGCCAGGCAGTCTGTGTACTTCACAGTTTTCCAAGAATGCACTCCCTTCAGACGCTTTTGCTCGAGGACTGTTGACCTTGGTTCTAATTCGTGGATCATTTCTCCATTGGAGGAACTTTTATCTCTTCACAATCCTTTGGGGAGAGGATTTTCATTTTAAATTGGCCATTACCTTATCCAAAGGACTTTTAGTCTCCTGAAGTCCTTTCACTGAGATGTTCTTCCCGTGTAGTTGTTCCATAACAGCATCTGGAGAACCATTTTAATTCTGTAAACATTCTGCTATTTGGACTCCATGTATCAATCTCACTGCTGTAACAAGAACATTGTCTTACACTCTTAAAAATGGCCACAACTTAAATTTTGCTAAACTCCCCTAGTGTGTCAACTCCCTTTCAGTTTGTAGACCAAAAGGGAAAAATATATAGTGAAGTATTATTATTTGTTCAAAACGATGGCATCATGTGGTTTTATTCTCTTACTAAGTACCCTGGATCTCTCATTTTGTCTCCTTTTAAAATCAATCGTACTTATCCTTAGCTGGATGTTTACATACAGGCAGTCTGGTCCTGGATTGTAACAGAATTTAGATTGCACTAGCTTCAGTGGTTAGCCGTGGCAGCCTGTGTCCCCATGCAATACTCTGGGCCTCTAGAATATTAATCCAATGAGGACACCATTATTGAGCCAAATTCTCAGCCTCCAAAAAAAAAACAAAGATTATGCATTTTGGTTTTATGTTTCCCATTATTTACTATATTTTGGGGTCTGAATCTTTTTCACTTGCTGTGTTGTTGCAACATGCTATAATATTTTGAATTTAGCGATGTGATGATGGTCTCATTTTTAATTATGTCTATGTTAATCTCTCAAACAGTGACTATATTTATCAAATGAACAGTATTTTGAATCAATATCTAGCTAGTGTTGTCAAATCAGTCAAAAATAAACTCCGCTCTGCCAATGAAGAAATCAATTTTTTTAAAAGGAAACAACTTCTGAAACATTTATTTCACAGCTCTATTGGAATTCAATACATAGAAAATTGGGTTCCTGGTAGAGGATTGTATTAGGTCCAAGGATTGAATTTGCAGAAACGTTTGTTTTAAGGTACCACCTTATTAATACATGCATTTCTGACGGACCTAATTTTTGTTTCTCCAAAGGTTGGTACCGAGGAGTCATCATTTTCTCCAACTCGAAATGGATCACAGAAACCATTGAAACCAGCATTAAAACGAGTTCCAAGTAGTTCTCATGATATTGCATCAGGAACAGGTAAGCATAAAACGGGGCATGCAGTGAGCAGAAATGAAGAAGTTCTCAGCCAACATTCTGTTTCCATGGAAACAGTTCATCAGGTTTTTAGCACTTTAGGAAAAATCCAAAGGTCTGCTCTTTCAGGCTATGTATACCTTACAGTAACACAAGCTGCTGTGCTCTACGTCATGTGGGAAATTATGCAAAAATATTCATTACACTGATGTACATCAGTTAACTAGGCCACATTCAAGAAGTTGATGTTAGGTTCAATAATGTCATATTCAACTTAGAAGACATTTTCCATGAGCTTAACTCTGGTTGTAATGTTTAACCTGTTACTGTCCATTTTGAAAGCCACTGCTCAAACATCTGTGCAGAATATGACTGTGTGTTAAAAGAATTATATCCGTGCAAACTTCTGTCCATTGCTGTCTATTAACACTCCTAGATACACAATTTTAAAGTAAACTATTAAACAAATTGTGTTGAGAAAAAATCACATCCCACCCCTACTTTAAGGCGCTGCCACATGGATGAAAGCCAATATGACAAGTTTTTATTTTAAATACGGATGTAGAAATAGCAATCCCAAAATATGATTAGAATCTATTACTTTAAAATGTTAAGGTTCTGAGGAAGGGTTACTCAACCTTTAAATGTTAACATTGGGCAATTAGGGATGGGCAATAAGTGCAGGCCTAACCAGTGACGCCTTCATCCTGTGAATGAATAAAGAAAAAACATGCACAGATGTTGCCGGACCTGCTGAGCTTTACCAGCAATTTCTGCTTTTGTTTCGGATTTACAGCATCCACAAGTTCTCTCAGTTTTTACCTTTAAAATCTTGACTGAATGTTGACTGTATGCCTAGTTCACACCCTCTAAACCTGCTTCAACTGAAGACTGCAAAGGGCTATACCAAGCTGCACTTAATGTCATGCCTTTAGAATAGTAAAACATCCCAAGGTATTTTAGAGGAGCATTGTGAAACAAAATTTAGCTATGATGCAAATAAAGCATATTTGACAAGAAGATGAAAATCTTGGTCAGGGATAATGGTTTTAAAGAAGGACAGAGAGGTATAGAATCTGAGAAATTTAGGGAAGGAATTTCATGTCAAAATGTTCAGGCATCGGTAGACACAGGCATAATGCGGCACAATTAAAATCAGGGTTCTCACAAATTGAGTAGAATTGAAGATGCATAGATATCTCAGAGGGTTTGGGGATGGAGAAGATTAAAAATAAGCAGGGGTGAAACCATATAAGATTTGAAAACAAGGATGAGAAATGAAAAATGGAGCTGTAACCTGACTTGTGGCCAGTGTAGTCAGCGAGTTCTCAGCTGCTGGATAAGTAGGACTTTAAGGAGTGGAGGAGGAGAATTAGGTTAGGGCCAGTAATGTTCTGATAATGTCCCGTTTTCAGAAGGAAGAATATGGGAAGCTGGTTTGGAATGAATTGGAACAATTGAGGCTGGAGGTTAAAAATAGAAGAGGAAGGTTTCGACAGTAATGGGCTGAGGCAAATGTGGGAAAGATGTTTTTTGTGGGTTGGAAATGGACAGATTTGGCAATGGTGAAGATATGGGATTAGTAACTCAGCTCAGACTCAAACAGAAGATTCAAATTGCAAACTGTTTAATTCAACTTCAGATGGTAGGCATGGAGGTATGTGAAATCCTGGAATTTCAAGGAATGCTGTTCCACAGTTTGACAATAGTCTGTCTCTCTTTATCGATTTATATTTGCAGTCACTACTTCTCCCAAGCCCATCACCTCACATTATTGCTTGCTTTCAATGTCTTCAATATTAAATAGCTACAACAGATCCCCACTAAGTCTCTGTTTGCAGTGGCAAAACCTGAGGCATTGTCTAACCCTCAGTCCGTAATTACTGGGGAGGCGACGGCCTAGTAGTACTATCGCTGGACTGTTAATCCAGAGACCCAGATAACTTTCTGGGACCAGGTTCGAATCCCACCACGGCAGCTGGTGGAATTTGAATTCAATAAACATCTGAAATTAGGAATCTAATTATGGCTATGAATCCATTGCCAATTTTCAGGAAAAACCCACCCGGTTCACTAATGTCCTTTAGGGAAGGAAACTGCCATCCTTACCTGGTCTGGCCTACACGTAACTCCAAATCCGTAGCAATATGGTTGATTCTTAACTTCCCTCTGGGCAATAAGGGATGGGCAATAAATGCTGCCTGGCCAGTGACACCCTCATCCTGTGAATGAATAAAGAAAAAAAACTTCAATATAAGCAGATATTTCTGGAAATATTCAACAAATCGGGCAGCATCAATCCTCACCTGAGGATTGTACCTGAGGAACTAGAGAAGATAGAGCAGGTGTTAGAAGACTGAATGAAGTGACCTGCAGAAAGCAATTCCTGCAGAGTTTAGAGAGTGAAAGCTGTGTTAGATTATGAAATTAGCTGAGGTGGTAGAAATGGCAAGAAAATGGTCTGTTGAATGCAAATGTGCAGGCTGATGGGATGGAAAGAGAGCACAGTGGATGGGGTGTGCCTAAACTTTATGTGAAGAAAAAAATAGAAATGAGACATTGTGGTTGAAGGTCCCGTCCAGCAGTTTAGTGGGGAATCTTTAACTGAGGAATAAAGTGAGATATGTCAGAAACTTTGGTGTGGAAACTGGTGTCGTCAATGAGAGGGAGTACCTAGCATATGTGAATTGAATCTTTACATGAAGCCAAACAGGAAGAATTGTAATGCAGTTAGTTGTCAGTGTTGACAGACTTGTACTAGATGTTAAAATCCATTCTCAGAGATATAGAGAGAAAAATGTACAGGATAAGAAGAGATATAAAAGAAGGATGTGAGTAGAAATTTGAAGATTAATTGAATTCAGAGCAAGAGTGATGCAAAACATTTCTGTGCTGTACATCTCTATGACTCTATAAAATAATGTTGATTTAAACTCTTTTAATGCAAAATGAAGGGAGAGATCACACAATGCATCTCTTTACATCGCTTGTTATGAATTGTTCCACATGCATTTCAGCTCAAATTTCACTCTTTCATTTCAGATTCACTAGTAATCACCAGTATCTCCATGACACTCAACATTCTTTTAACTGCGTAATAAAATTCACCTTCTCCTCTCTGCAGTGCCATATGCTTACTTGGGATATTTATTTCCTGCATCATCAATTCATTCACGGTGTGATTGTCTATCTTCACAGCTCAATGATCCTTATGCCAAAGGGCTCATCATTGCTGCCCTTCTATTACTTCCTCCAGAAACACATTAGGAAACAAAACCTAATGATGTAGGGTCAGGAGGGGCTACCTGCATTAAGCAATGCATGGTTGGATATAGATGTTTTGTTATATAAAATTATGGTACGATTACCAAATCAGAATTTCTTTTATTCGTAACTGCAATGTCGCTTAAAATATTGTACAAAACAAATCAGATAATATAATTGCTCAAATTAAATCCCCTTAATGTTAATTTTCCAGCCACAAGATGCTTTGCCATAATATCAAACCCTGGACTTCAAAAAATATAAAATCAACTTGGATTTTATCAGTTGATTTTCTGCTTTGTAATATCTAATGTAAATGTAGCTGTTATACTGCACAACCTTTCAGACAAAATTTAATAAATTTTCAGATGACTTGCAATTCAATCAAATCATAATATTGCAGCTGTACAGGCAGCTATAAAATTTTAGGTGACTGCCAGATGAATTTGTAATGTGTTTAGACAGATAATTCAAATGTCAAATAGTTTAAAAGGTAATACATTGAAATTCACTTCTATGCAAATCTGAAATGTTAACTCAACCCAACTGAAAGCATATCAGTTTTAATTTTCTCCTATTTATTGCTGCAGGTCTTAGTTTGTCAATACATATATACGCCAAAATTAATGCTATAGAGTGTTATGCCAACTTATTTCCATTAGAATAACTTCTGAAGTAAGATTTTTGAAAATTTATTTCATTTATGGGATGTGGCCTCTGCTAGCAAGGTCAGTGATTATTGTTCAGCACTATGAAGGAACCGGTGAATTGCTGTAGTCCATATGATGAAGATGATGCTCTAATGCTGTTACAATGTAAAAAGATGATATATTTCCAAGTCAGGATGTGATTTGGAGGGACACTTGCAAGTGATGGTGTTCCCACATGCCTTGTGCCTTTATCCTTCTAAAAGGTAGAAGTTTCAACTGTGGGAGGAGTTTTGAAGAAGCTTTGGTGAGTTGCTGCGGTGTGTTTTGCTGATGGTACATATTGCAGTCGTTGTGCATCATTGATAGAAAATTCAAAAGTTTAAAATTGAGGGTCCAATCAAGTTTTATCCTGGATGATAGCAAGATTCATGAGTGTTGCTGGCAGGAGCACTACATCAGGATTTTGCCATCCATACTGTCCAACCCTATTGTGGAGCAAGTTAAGAATATATGATTTCATGGTGCAACAGCTAATTAAGTGGATCCCAATTACCAGAATGCTAAATTATAAGAAAAAAATTGAGCTTTTTAAGTCTTGAAATTATGTATTAGGAGAAAAACATGGAAGTATACAAGACAGCTTGAGGAAATTATTACGTTCTGGCCAGTTAAACTATTACAATGGACAAGGAAGCAAAGTACAAGCCAGAGACATACAAATTTAAGACAAGTGTCAGGAACTTCTTAATACTTACAATGTACTCTGAGAAAAGAGAGAGAACAAACTCTGGAATGAGTTAAGAAATAGCTGAATTAAAATACTGAAAACGTTTAAAGAGTGGAAAGTAGATATTTGAAATATTGGGGAGTTGAGGAGCTGGCATGATATAGAGGAGCTGAGGCCTGGTCCAAAGCAGCCATGGTCTTGAATGCTGGGGCACATTTAAACAAGTGAATGGCTGTCTCCTTCTCTATTTCTTGTATTGCTATGTTCTTACCTCTGTGATTAGGTTAGGCTTTTACTGCTTACGTGAACCAAGCTTATAAATTTATTGAACATATTTTTTCATCCTAATCAATCTTACCATA